TTTGAAAGCAAATGCAACCATCTTGATGATAGCAAGACTTTACGGGGTAAATTTCCCCCAAAGAAAATCGCTAATACAGTATTAATGATTCGCAAACATCGTGAAGATGGCAACAATCTATAGAGTAATTTTTCTCTCAAAAATGATATTGATACAGTTTATACACGGTATTTCAAAGCAAAAACATCCATATTTTAGATAGCAAAACTTTACGGGGTAAATTTCCCCCAAAAGAATATCACTCATACAGAATTTATGCTTCAAAATATCTTGGCGGTAGCAAAAATCTACAGGGTAAATTTCCTCTTAAAATAATAATTGATACAGTTTATCTTATACGTAGAAAAAAGCGAACATTACACTTTTAAAATCGCAGAACTCTACAGGGTAATTTTTCTCTCAGAGATGATATTGATACAGTTTATATACAGTAATTAAAGGCAAAAACATCTATCGTTTAGATAGCAAGACTTTACGGGGTAAATTTCCCCCCAAAGCAAATAACTGATATAGTTTTTATGATTCACAACATCTTAAAGATAGCAAAAATCTTCAGGGTAAACTGCCTCCCAAAAAATAACATCGATACAGTTTCCATATATTAATTCAATGCAAAACCACCAATGTTTTAGATATTAAAACTTTACGGGGTAAATTTCCCCCCATAGAAGGTATCACTGATACAGTATTCACTACTCTTGTAAAAAGCGAACATTACACTTTGAAAATCGCAGAACTCAACAGGGTAAATTTCCTCTCAAAAATGACATTGATTCAGTTTATATACAGTGCTGAAAGCAAAGGCAACCATCTTGATGATAGCAAGACTTTACGGGGTAAATTTCCCCCCAAAGAAAATCACTGAACAGTATTTTTGATTCGCAAACATTTTTAAGATGACAACAATCTATAAGGTAATTTTCCTCTTAAAAATGACATTGATAAGTTTATATACATTATTTCAAAGCAAAAACACTCATCTTTAAGATAGCAAGACTTTACGGGGTAAATTTCCCCCAAAGAAAATCACTGATACAGAATTTATGTTTTGCAATATATTGGAGGTAGTAAAAATTTACGGGGTAAATTTCCTCTAAGAATATTACTGATACAGTTTACATGTACATCATACTTAGAAAAAACAAACAATAAACTTTGAAAATAGCAAGTATGTACGGGTTAAATCCTTCCCTTCCAAAGAGTATCAATAATACAGTTTATATTATTCAAAGCATGACCAAACACTGCAACTCGATGATAGCAAGACTTTACGGGATAACTCCCCCCCCCCCCCAAAGAATGTCAATTATGCAGTTTATATAATTCACAGAATAAATCATATATTACTTTTTGAAAAAAGCAGAACTTTTCAAGGTAATTTCCTCTCATAAAATAAACTAATTCTGTATATATTGTTTACAGAAAAGCATACATTACATCTTGATGACAAAAAATTTCATATCAAAGAATATCAAAAATATATTATTTTTATATCACAAACGATACTTTTATCTTAATATCATGCAAGCTGGAAAAGCTAAATATTAGAGTTAACATAATATTAAACCTTCTAAACATAGAAAAACATACAAAAACATAAAAAAAACCTCTGACATCTTTCTTTCTCTGTTAAAGATATAAGATTTCTTTGTGTCCCATTACACTTTCTTTATTTAAACAGCGTCCTCCTTTAATATCTTTGACCGAAGTTCCAATACTATGCTTTTCTCTTGGCTGATACAATAGACAGATTGTAGAGTGCATTTTCCAACGGAAATCAGGCAACCCTATTCTGAACCAATCCATAGTCGACCTATGGATGAAAATTTTAAGTCTCATAAACTTCAATTTTCCAAAGCCTTGGGCATTTATATATGATTTCATGACAGGTATGACTGGTTTAATATTGCGCACTAGAGTAGATCAGCAGGTGCCTGCTCCGAATTTTTGTAAAACAGTCTTTCTGTTTATATTGCATGGAAATTGCATTCATCTAAAGATCCCCCCCCCCCAACACACACTCATATACACACATACATTTATACATGTTTCTGAGAATAATGCTCATTCGTGATATGGATCTACATAAGATAATCAAAAAAGTTACTTACTATAGTATTGTATTTGTATTGTACATGTATTACTGATGCCCTCTAGGTCCATCATGGACGTTTTTTTAAGGGGAAGTGAGAGAGGTAACTAATAACATATGCAGATAGTTTTACTGCAACCTAAATGTTGGTTAAAGTTTAACATTTCAGCTTCAGTTATTAAACCTAAAATATATATATATCGTGACATATATAAAATTGTATATTTACCTTGTTTGTTCAAGATTTGGACTTGAATTTGTAGTTCAGTTCCAGCACTAGGCAGTCTCTTTTGTATCGAATCGTCCATAAAACAAAAGAACACTTTTGAAACATTCTTAAAGTACTTGCGTGCGTCCACAAAACTGAGAGGTCATCTAGCTTGGTTTCCTTTCCCTAATGTGCTTAGTGTTCTGTGTGACCTTTGGCGTGGATGAGCCAGGGAGCAAGGCAAATGAACGCCGGCCATATCAATACGGCCAATAATATTTAAATTCCCAACTCACTATTCATCATGTAGTGTATATTACAGGGAAACGAACACATTGCTTTCAAGGAAAATGAGTGAATTTATCAATGGGTGGTTGCGAGAAAAAAATTTGAGGTGATCAGTTTCTCATCACTTTACTGTTTACTCTTCCGCTGCGTGAGTTCCAGATGTCAATCAACCCTTTTATTGGATAGCATTGCGGTCATGTCATAAATCTGACCTAAGCTAAAATAATTTCTACATTTTCTCAGCATCCATGTCTTGATCTATAAAAAGCACAGGTTGACCTTCTTAAAACTTGGTGACATTTTACATATACTCTACTGCAGTTGCATACGCATCATCTATTCATGTGGCAGTTATTATTACTTTACTAAATATGTGGTTTCAAAGATGTGAAAAAATTATGAACAGTTATTTTTTTTCAGGTGATCTTTCTACACTGACACAACCTAGGGTTGAAAAAGAGAGAAAAAATATATAGCTAATGAAAAGCAATATTGATAGAACGTATTATTGACTTTAAAACTCGAATATATTGTACATCATCTTAAAAATTATAGAAAAAAATATCCACCTTCGAATTGGTAAACATAAGATTTTTTTCATGTACATGTACTATAATTACACTAACGAAATCTATCTACTTCTGTTGTTTATATTTTTATCTTTTACGTCTTTTTTCCGAAATTATAACACGTTATATTTTGTTTACATGTACATGTGTATATGTACAGATTAAGAGAAATGTACATGTATAAAAAAAAAAATGATAAAACTACAGGTATACATGGTAGAGGCCGTGTACCATTATTTTAAACAGGCTCATATCGGCAATCGTACATTTGATAAGTAGAAAGAAGAAAAAAGGAATTCCCCGAGTGTTCTTCGAGTATTAATCTCATCTAACTTCTTATGATACCATTTTTTGTGATTAATTTTAATAATTGAATATTTAAACACTGCACATATAGGCAGAATTATTTATGAAAATTTTCAAAGAACAGAATTGTTACTTAGCAGACATTTTCGACAATCGATTATGCCGGAAATGTCCGAGATGATTGCGATTGTCATAGTCAAGGTCATTCTATTTTAGTTCAAAAACGTATCCTTTACAATGACTTTCTCTATTCCACGTTACACAAAACATCCCCGCGCAGCCAAGTATAGATGGCTATCAGATTTTCAACCCATTAGTTCACGATTAGTAGCAATGTGTGCTCAGCATGTATGCTTTAGGTACTCAAAAGCAATGATATCGCATTGCCCATCCTGCAGAAGTCGCCATGCAATTCAATCAATTAATTAGAAGAAAATAATTCTTTTACACTCTATTGCTTAGCATGGTATTACAAGATATAAAGAAATACACAAAGAATGCATAGTTTTTTTTTTAATGACAAAAATAATGTACTCATAAATTCAATTTTTTTTAAAGTTCGGAATAAAGTTCTATTAATATTGCTTTTTTAATAGCTATTTTTTTTTTTTATTAATTTTTCTTTTTATAACTTAAAGGAGTAGCCGTATAGATAGATGAACTTTCTTAGGTAAGAATAACTGTTCATGATTTTTGTTACATCTTGAAAAAAAAAATTCAACAGTGCAATGAAATACTGCCACATTAATGAATTATGCATATGCGATTGCAGTAGAGTACATGTAAAACAAGTAACTTAGTATAATGGAATGAAATTCAATGACCTTAAAAAAATCAACAAATTCAAAGAGGGCAGCTTGTGCATTGCAAGAAATCCCGTCCGATTTAGCTGTGAGCTGAACTCAATACAAGTCCCAGATAACATGCCTGTATTGGGCCAACGTTGGCCCAACAAAACCTTTTTTGTTGGGCCAACGTTGGCAAACTTGCGTTGGCCCAATGTAATTTTGCTAATCGGCCCAACGATGGGCCAATATGTTGGTGCAACGATGGCCCAACATTTTTGACTTTCATGCCAACCAAAAACCAATGATGGACCAACATTGAATTTTTCTCAAATCTTTTAATTAATGTTGGATTAATGTTGGCCCAACATTGGCCCATCTCATTTTTTCTTATGTTGGCCCAATGTTGGCCCATGCATATATTTTTTTTTTTAACTTATTACATGTTGTTGCTTACCATAGCTTATATATTAAACTTCATAATTTTGATATACAGACTACATTCTGAATTATACTGCAAGGTATAGATATTTCTGCAACACATTTAAAAAAACTTGGTTATAAAATCAAATAAAAACTAAAGTCATTTTTGTGTATTGCTAACCATATCTATAAAAGAACAATTAAGTTAACTGCAAAAACTGAATAAATACTTTCTAGCCTAATGCTATGACATGAAATTATGAAATGAATAAATAAGATGTAAATAGATGTATAAATCTTATTTATTTATCATTAATGAAACATTTGTTTTATTCTGTTTCTCCCTCGGCCTCCCTGGCATTGTTCCTCTTTTTTTCTTCTCTCTTCTTTCTTCCCCCATCACGATCTGCAGCATATCTCAGCCAGTCTTTGATAAGCTTTTCGATGTCATCATCTGTTGCCTGAGCACAAAATCTGTTCTTCCTGACAGCCTCTGTTAATAATGAATATGTTTTCTTATTTCATTGTATTAAAATGCATCTCACAAACACAGATGTTTTATTTTACCAGACCATGTCTATTGTTACAATAAATTTACACAAAAATGTACTTTATATGGAACACCTCATAAAACTATAATTTGCTCATGTACATGTTATTTATAATCTGGTCTTTTCAGGAAATGTCACCAAAAAATTATTAATAGAATAAAAACCATTTGGTTTGATTCAATACTTAGCCTTGACCATATTCAAATGAGGGAAAAACTTACTCAGCACAACATTCTTCAACTTCAGAGTCGAAAATCCTCTTTTTTTCCCTTTCCCTTTCCAATTAAGTTGCAGAGCCAGTTCATTCTTTAGAAGAAAGGATAGGAGTCTCCTTACATTGGACTGGAGTGAGTCACCTCCGATGGAGCAAAGATTTGACAGCTGAAAATAAAATATTGATTTCAATAGAATTATCTATTCATATATATTTTTTTTTAAAACTAAGAGAAAACATAATAACACATACAGGTAAATGTATTACATGTAGGTACAAAACAATGACAATGAGTTTCTTGTTTTTAAAGTATAAATTCATAAATTGGCCACTTACCAATGCTTTGACAATATCCACATTTTCCAACTTCTCCTCTAAGCTGTCCAGGTCCTCGAGGTTTTTCAGAGGAAAATCTATGCCAAGGTCTAATTCTGGCTCATTTCCTCCCACTGGGAAAGGGACATCAACTTTTGTTTGGATGTTTTGCAAAAGTTTTGTGTTAAATCGAACCTGTCCTTTAATTTCTTCTAAGATGGATATGATCTTGATTTCAGTTGCTAGAAAGACATATATAATACATGTTATCATATTTTGATAATAATGAACACCTGCTTTATATTGCAAAGAGTTCTAAATAATTTTTTCAAAGATTTACCTGTTACTCTTGGCTGTGCTTTCTGAATAAGTGTGGGGGAGGCAGGTGAAGACAGGTGAGGGGATCTTATTCCAGAGGGCTGCTTTGATGGTTCTGTCAACGTTGGTTCCTTACGTTGTGGTAATGGTGATGGTAATGGGGGTAATACAGGGAGAGGTGGTAATTCTGGGAAAGAGTTTGCCTTTTTTCGTGGGGATCTTCTTAATGGTGGAGCTGGAATATCTTCCCCCTCACTCTCCGTTGATGATAAATCATTATACTTTGGATTAGGCCTAAAATCCAGATCATCAGTATAATTATTAAAAGAATAAATATTTTTTCCTATTCCTTTATATATTGATCAAGATGGCCTCTGCTGAAATATGAACAGTTTACCTTTTTTTTCTTTTCTGGACCTTTTCTTCTCTGATTGCATCATCTATGTCAGTTGTTTCTAAACTTGATGTCAATACTGCATTTGATAGTTTTCCCCTGGCTTTGTCAAAGTTGTCTTGAAAATAAAACAAAAGGATATGTAACACTATATCACTACATCAAATAAACATTTTAAAACTTAACTAATTAATTACAAATTAAATTAAATGTGCACTTAATAAAAAAAAATTACATAAATTTCATAATCATTAAAAAGTTGAAGCATATATTAAAAGAAACCATATAACTTACCAGATTCATAAAGCACTCTAACATCAAGGCACATGTAGTCTGCCCCTGGTATTGTGCAGCGCTTCACTGCAGCATGGATTTTATCCGAATTCCTCCACATTGGCCAATAAGCTTTTTTTTTGTTCTCTGTCAGCCATGAACATGGGATGACATCTACTTCAAGGCCATCTGTGAACTCCACAACAGCATACATAGACCTATCATAAAATTTATTTACTTTATAATGATGATACATAAACATTTGTTTATGCATATTTTCAAAATTATTTTGAGTTTTTTAAATTTCCATTTTGTGACCCTGTTTTTAAACATTGCGAATCTGCCATCATAACCTATTTACCAAATATTGCTGGTATAAGGGATTGCTAAAAATTTTCTGTTATGTGGAAACAACACACACTTTGATTGAATTTCTGTCAGCTTTGCAACACAGGTGTGAACTTCCAAATCATACACTATCTGAATTCCAAGTAAATTTGATGACACAGGGGTGTAAAAAAAGTCCTCTGTTTTCCTAAATGCACAATACACTATAAAAACATCAGCATCTTTTAATACTATATTCTTGACAAGAACTATTTTTCCATTTACACGAACACAACAATCTTTAGCATTAAGTTTTACGCTGTAATTGCTAGTTTCCAGTGTTCTGTACTGAATGCCATTTGCAAGAACATCTGGCACTGGCCCTAATACATGCTCTTTTCTGAGAATTGGGTATTCCTTTTCTCTTTTGTTAGATGTATTCATATTTTTCTGTTCAGAAAGTCTACGAATTATTTGCTGCAGAGCAAATGATGGTTTACGAACCATGCGTTTTAACTTTCCTAAGAAATTTTCAAATGGGAATGATGACACATTATCAAGACTACCATACTTTGCAGCGTCATTTGATAAATGAACCAGTCCATGAACATTATAAACCAACATGTCATTACCGTACATCTGACCAAAGTGGGAAACAAAGGCAACAAGAAGGTCATGAGCATATACATTGTATATATTGCATAAACTCTCATTCAACAATATATGCATTGCAACAAAGAGGAGCAAAAAATTTTTGTATATGTTTTGATGAACAACGTTCAGGAGGACTAATGGGCCAGTATATAATAAAAATTGTCTAAACTCTGTTGCCTTCCAGCGGTCAAGAACATCTAAGGAACGGGGTTTGCGAGAAAATTCACAGGGAACATAATTTTTCAAAGAAAGCATTGAATCAGATATTTGATTTAGATCTTGAGAGCCTAACCTATATCTTAGAGGACCCTTTTTCCACAAAAGCAGCATACGCTTAACAACTCCAAGACAAACTAAATGCATGTAATCTTGGGGAAATTGAGAAACCATACCCATATTCAATTCTACTAGAGGTGATATGCCTTTGTGATGGTCCTCATCTTCAAATGCATTAAATGAAGCATCAGTTCTCAAAGGTGCATTAGTTTCAGGAAAAGTCATTTTTCCCAAATATACACCACACTGAGTACACTTATCACATCCCGAGTATCCAGAATGACCCTTGATACATTTAACAAAGGCTCTTGCAGGTGCATCACAAATGACCGAGTCCAATATCACATTGAAATGTTTGCCATTAATGTCAAAACCATTATCATTAAGTTCTTTGAATTCATCCACAAATTTTTGCAAGTAATCATTCAAATTACTTGGTTTGCTTTGTCCAGAAAACAGACCAATAATAAAGGGTGTATTGTCACATAAGTTTTGTATTTTCCCCAATATTGGCCAAAATTGATCACTTGTACTCTTGAAAAGTGGCAAACCATCAATATTTATTTGAAGCGAAAAGCAGAATCCATCATCCAATAAATACAAGTGTGGTTCAGCTTTCTGTGATAAACTAGACAAAATACCAAAGTGATAGTACTGTCCTCCTGCTAAATCTGACACATCATATGTTACTTGTGTATGCAACAGAGTTCTGGGATCCTTTGGTAATGTGGGAAAATACTGTCTCAAAAGAGTCAGCAAATACAACAATGCAATGTTTGGTATTTGGAAAGTTGTGGCCCACTCTCCTAGTTTTTGGGAAAAAGGTTTTTCCTCCGGTTCAATATCAGATTCACTATCATCAGAGGATTCACTAATTATGTTTTGTGAATGAAACATATGCTCAAGATTTTCTCTTTCTGATTCATTAACATCAAAATTTTCATTCGTTTGCTCTTGAGTTTCATCAGTTGGTTCAAAATCACTACATGTTGTATTACATGTACCAGCCATGTCAACCAGTTCATTACTACTCTGTACCACATTACTATCTCGAAAATGAGTGTGTGGTACCCCTGAATTATGTCTGTTACTTAGCCTTTCTAAACTCATATTTTGATCTGAAGCCTGTGATTCCTCATGAAGTACTGATTCATTTTGTAAATCAGACAGATGATCGGATATCCGTGATAACACCCCCCTCCTTACTGTCCAGTAAGACTCAATTTTATCAGCCATTTTAATTGGTTAAAAACAGGGTCTTTAAAAACCAACCAAACAAAAAAAAAACAAATATATTTTCCAGTTAATAGACAGGTCTATGTTTTGCAAATGTTTATAGAATCTAGTACTCTCGAATCTGCAAGAAAAAAATGTTACCATCACTCCTGCATCTTGAACCCGAGCCAAAAATATTACTTAAACCCGATGCATTTTTATTAATACTCTTCCTACTATTTTAAACTACTTAAAAGCAGAAGAAAACATACAATAAAAATGTTAAACTGTTAAATATTTTGTAGAACATTTGAAAATAGAAAATAAGGGGTCCCAAAAAGAATTGTTAAAAATATCGTGGATTGAAACCTTGTAATCTTTACTTTCAGTAAAGGTACATGTATGTATGGTAGGTTTTATTAAACTGTTTAATTAATATTTGCAGGCTGTATATATATATTAATTAAAAGTAATTTGAAAGTCTAAATTCCTATAACTTTTAAGCTTGTTCATCAAAAGAGGCCGCATGACACTGATATATTAACCATTTCATTTTATAAGTTTACATGAAAGCATGTGTAAAAATGCATACTTACATTGTGGTGATATTCAGCTAGAAGCGGTACCAGGGTACCCAGTTAGAAGTAACAATTGTGAACAAAATATCAAAATCCAAACAGTGAAAGCACATACGTCTTTGTCTACTGAACACGCGGCAGTGGTGGGAACTTGCTGACACAGTATCAAGTAGCAGGGAAATTGTGTAATAGAGCTCTGTTGCCAAAGCAACTGGCCAGGCCTGGCCAGTGTCCTGCTGAGAAGGAGAGCCAAGGAAAGTTTTGAAGTGACCTAAATGTATCTTGAAGACACGTTTCTAAACGTTTCTAAAATTAGAACAAAAATAACCGCAGCAAGGAATCCATTTTTTGTGAGGATTGTCTTTCTAAGAAAAATTTAGCCTGGGAATATAATTATATATAATTAAGTTCAAATTCAGAAATTGATTATTGTGTTGATTTAAATCATATTTCAAAATGTATATATATATATATATATATTTATATCATATCACGTAATCAGAAATGATTATATATAAATAATATTTGATACGAAATGTAAACGTGATAAAATTGAAGATATTGGTTTTGCATTAAACAAAACCCATTATATTCAATACATTATAATTAATCTGCACGTATCATAAACATTTTGATTATTCGACCAATGTTGGCCCAATGTTGGTTTTGTCGTGGCTTGACTCGATCATTCCCTTCGTATAATTTGTATATACCCTTATATTACTTCTGAAATTCGGATCCGACATAAACATTCAAGGGTTTGATGCAGCAACAAGAAGAAAACATAATATAATGATATAATACACTACTAAAAATGTAATTTAATTAAACAGAATTAGAGTTTGTTTCCGCATTGGGCCGATGTCGGTCCAACGCTGCCTTATTAATTATTTTATAAAACGTACAACATGACATTAAGCCAACGTTGGCCCAACGTTGGCACAGCGTACCGAGGCCAACCTAAGTATTAGCCCATTGTTTCAGTCAGTCATAACATCGGGCCAACATTGGCCCAACGTTGTTAAACCGATGCCAACCTTACAACCCACAGCCAATGTTGGCCCAACATAGTCATGTTATCTGGGGTGCTATTAACGCTGATCACTGATATTCCCCTAAGAGTGATTCGAGACAATTGATGGCAGAATCTTGGAGAGGTGGATCTAAGGGGAAAAATACTTTTACAATTTTTATCTTCGGATGTCATTGAGAAATTTAGCATTTATTTCCTTTGATATGATTAATTATTTTGCTACCACGCATTCTTCTACATTTTTAATGTGGAATTTATTTCAATTTTATTTAGAATTAATTTAAATTTTTCTTGGAATTTAGCGGTTTTTTTAATTATAGCCTTTAAATATTTCTGAATCTAAGGAGAATCCATAGTGTGCAAGTCCCTCTAGGACACAGCGAGTTGGTACATGTACCCCATACGATGCATATTTCACTTACCTCTTGAGAAGAAGGTAAACATGACCTATTTACACCCTTCCTACTAAGCATTCAAAGGCAACATTTCTCAATATTTTAAATTTCGATATTAATTCTTTTCCCAACACACTCTCCTTTCAATGCCCTAAAATCAGCCCAATCCACCCCGTATACATCATTAGACATATTTAAGGGAGAAAACTGTGTTTTTAATTGGTACTACTTGCGTGGTCAATGAAATGGAGGTAAAATTAGTAACCTATGACATACTTATACCTTCTACCATCAAATCAAGGGTTACAGATTCGAACATTTATTTTAATTTCCTTTTTGTTTCACTTTACTTATTGTTAACTCGTTTATTTCCTATAATTATATGTTTCATTTTAAATTCATTATTATTATTGAGCGCGTAAGATATTGAAATCATGCCCTCCCCCTCCCCCCCCCCCCCAAAAAAAAAATAAGGCCTCAAATTTTTCTCTTAAAATGTTTTAAAGCTTTAATTTTTAAAATCTGTAAAAGTTTTGGATCCTTCCCTCAACACTGCTGACATCATTTGTCTCGCAACACTCTCATAGGTAATATAAAGATTAGCGTTAATTGCACTTTGATTAAATTCAGTCTAAAACTACACTGGAGAAAATCCACATAATTTCTTCCAAAATCTCTTAGGTTTGATAGATAACAGATTTAGTTGCTGAGAAAATTTAGAAATAACAGCCTAAGGTCAGATTTATGACACGGCCGCAATG